AATCATGCAGCTAAGACTGGCTATGGTCTGAAGTTTGCACCTCTGCGAATTTGTAGTAATTAACAAAATTTGCTTATTAACCTGTGTCTCAGACACTTGCAGGGGCGGCACAACATTTTGCACTGTCTCAACAGTCCAGGAGATAGGAATTTGTAGCGGTACCGGAGGAGTTATAAACCTTGTTGGGACAGATCCGGGCCTATTCGCGAAGTCGTAGTTGCTGAAGAAAGCGGGGCGATCCACTTATGTGATCACTGCTATCCAATCATCTGCAAAAGTATGACTAATATAAGACACACATGGCGAATACCGGTACTTTAGCTGTGTAGCAGGCGTAGCGAAACATCTTTAAACATCCTAGTTCCTCTAACTTACCGGTATAAGCCGTTATACAGGGGATTTCGAGGTTTTCGGGTGAAGGTGGAACTAGTCGGGAGCAGACTGTATTGTATCGTGAAAAATGATGCCCAGTATTCGCCCCACTCCCCCTCGTTTAGAAGGTTCCCACTAATTCATCCGCGGTGTGTCTCTGTTGCTTCCAATTTTCGATGCATCTGGACACCTCAGCTACCCCGCTAACACCAAATTATCTGGATTGTCGGGGTCCATATGGGGATGATTATGGGGCTGTGTGCCGGATTTGGCTGCTAGTAACGAGCAATGAGATGGCGGTGTTGGTGAGTGAAGCGGAACGACTTAAGATCCCAACTTACAAGAGATGGTGGCTGTTCACTGCTTGTTAGGGCGCTATTTTAAAGGCACAGGACGTACGTACATTAGGTGCTGCCGTAGAGCGGGGTGTTGATCACAACCAAACGTAGCCAAGTCTAAATGCCGTAGTTAGTGAGAGGTATCGGTAGAGGATACGGCGAGGACACTAGGTTAAGACCGACAGAAATCCGGATGGGAACTCCAGTCCCAACTACTAATCTTGACACTTCCGGCTGTGGAATGTAAACTTACTCTCGAAAGAAAAGCGAGATTCCCCCTCTTACTGCGTATTATTTTTGCGTCTGGCTGCCTAGAGAACGCGGAGGTTAAGCATGAGCATGCGTTCTTAAATCCCCACGGCAGCCACTTGGTATAAAGCTTTAAAGTACTTAAGCACTGCAGCAGATCTCCCTCGTTGAATTACTACTTAGATTTAATGCCGATATAAGATCCATTGAATTTGTACCCAGAAATCACCACCCTCGAGGTCCCGAGGGGAAAATTGCTAACTAAACAGACCACTGTACTTTACTTACACACCTGAACACACTCCTCAATTCAAAGCACACCATACATCTGTCCTTCAGCCACGCTTTTGCTCTACGAGAACGAGAATCGCATGACACCTCAAACTTTAAACCCTGAAGCAGAAAAACAAAAATAAATAAATAAAAATCCTAAGCTAGAAAAATCCAACCCAGTCGATCACCATTCTATATTTACTCAAGGGTGTCCCACGCGCACTAGCAATAAAGAGATGTGCACCAGGTAAAAAACATAACAACCAGGACCCCTGAGAAAACTCTACCCTCATACTGGATCCACACCCGTACATCAAAACACGCATACTCCAGACCCCAGGGCATCTACGGTGCCTACTCAATGACAGGTCCATTTGTGCACATAGGTAAAACACAAGACGAGACAATTCCGGGGAAACAGGAAAGAAATCAAACGCTATGGTGGAAGGGGGAAAATAAAATAAGGCAGAAATAAAGAGCAAGAAAAAATGAGGGAGAGAATGCAGAAATGGAGGCATGATCAATACTAGTGTCCAAAGCTCACGGCTTATTCTAACTCTTCGACGGAAACTTTTTCTCCATGCTTTACCTTGAGATCCCAAGAGATTTCAAAATAATCACCGTCATTAATGAGAACGTCTCTTAGCATCCCTCTCGCCCTTCCAATACCCCGGGTCTGAGAGATGACCTTGGTCTTTGTCTTGGGCTTAGCTAGTAACTCCCCGCGCAACCTGATCTCTAGAGCTCTCAAGCCAAGGGGGAGTGTCGGGGTGATGTTTGATAGCTGCATGTACCCGCCCCCATTAATCCTTGCTCTATCGTTAAAATAACAAAAGCTGGACGTACCTTAAGTCCCTTCATCTCATAATTCATACCCAGCCCCTCCATCTTCGTAAACCCCTTCAACGGTGCCAGCCACTCCGGGCGGTAATACATCGCTCGGGTAGTCTCCGGCTCGCGAACCTGCACCGTGAGCGATTCCAAACTACCTCTGCTGCTCCCCAAAGCGCGGATTAGAGCTTTCATAGACGACTCCGTGAAGCTGCTGAGGTTCAGAAGCACCCTTTTCAGTTTCCGGCAGGTGGCAATGAACATTATCACGCCATCGATGTCCGGCACGTCCTCCCATGTGTATAGACTTAGTTCTTCTAATCCTTGGTCATGACTGCCACCCCCGCCCACACCCTTAGACAGATATGATAGGAGGCTATCGAATCCACGGCATTCCCAGAGCACAAGCTTGCGCAGGTATGTCGGGTTGAAGAATGTCTCAACACAGTACTCTGGAGGGGGGATGTCAAAGCCATAGAGTTTTATAGAGCAGAGGTGTGTAGATGGGTGCAGCTCGGGTAATGGCACGTAGTCTAGGTCGGTAAAGGCGCGCGACTTCAAAGAGAGGGAGGTGAGTGGGAGCAGTTTCAAAGTCATGTACATGCTTATCAGCTCTTGCTCGTTATCAGGGTTTATGTGGTTTATCGAGAGCTTTTGTAAGGTCAGGTGTTGGGCTGGTGTTAGGCATGTTAGTATCGGGTCGGGAGATGAAGGCGGTGGAGGTGGAAAGGTGAGGTTGGCGGCGGGAGCGGGAGCGGGAGCGGGAGCGGGAGTGGCGGTGGCGGCGGAGTGAGATGGGTGCATGGTCAGCTTCAATGTTCGCAGCGAGTGCTTGGATAATGCGGCTGACAGAGCCGCTTGCGCCAGCGCGCACCTAAATTAACCGAACGCGCCACCTTCAGCGCCAGTTCATCCCCACAATACCGGTACTCCCATCCCTTCCCATCCCAGGTGTTATATCCAAAAACTTACTTCCGGCTATTAAACTTAAAGTCCCTTAATCGCCCAATTTCCATCCCACCCACCACTCCCGCAACTTGCGCCCACCCGTGGTCATCCACACAGTCTTCCTCGCCCTCCGAGGAACCAGCTGTATCGCCCTCCTCCTCTCCATCAATTACAACAACCTTCCTACCCCACCACTTCCATCCAGGTGACCGTAGAGCCTCGAGATTCCCAACCTTCCCGCCCGTGGCTACAACCTGCAGCGTATGATACAGCCTCGGTACCGAGAGATGATATAGCGCGCGAGAAGTACGTGCTAAACGAGAAAGCGTTGTGCTATCGTCGTACGGAATCTAGGTATTCATCACGTTACCACTCCGTTTAAAACTTCAGAAATAGCGAGTTTTTATTTATCGATTTGACTGCGGGGTGGAACCATGGCGGGAAAGTAGGTAAGATCATAAATCCTAGGGTTTGAGGATGGAACTTACGTGGCTCATGATTTCCTCGAGAAGTAGCAACGGGAGATCCAGAAGCTCCATTTCGAAAAAGAAAATCTCAATAGAATGATGATAAAAGCTATACAGGCAGCCCACGAACGAGATGGAAAAGCAATTAAAATATCGAACGGACCCAAAACAGACAAAAAAAAGAGTAAAAGAGATAGGGAGAGAGGGAGAGAGGGAAAGAGAGAGCACGACTGAGAAGAAATGTCGAAGGGACGAGAAAAAAAAGATAAAGATCACACCCTACAATATTTCATTGCCCACGGGTGACTTTCATGATAAAGTGAAGGGGGGTAGTGGTGGCAAGAAAATAGCACTTCTCCAACGCAGCATATCTATCGGGGGTCATGCGTTCTCTTAAGGTATCATGCTATCAGCGCTCAAGTGAGGGGCCATTCCATCCTCATTGCCTCCTTCCTTCCGGGTCGGAAAAGTGGGTTATTGCTGCTGCAGCACTCCTGGCACTTGCCTCACCCGGAAAAAAAAAAAGAGACGACACCATGGCCAATGAAGGCCTACCACGAACGATATTTAATTAGGGTCAGGGCTAGGGGAGGAGCTCTGCCAACCAACCAGCTTGAGACTCGAGCGCTAATGCTGCTAGTCGCAGGATAAACATTGATTGATACAGGCGGAATCGAGCCCGAGCGGGGGAAAGATCATAGGGTTGAAAAATTTCTAAACAAAATAGTAGTAACAACAATAAGTGTTCACAGCAGGAGAAATGGATCCAACGGTGCAAACGATCTGATGCGCCGGAGAGCTGACGAAGATGTTAGGTTCACGAGTGGTCACTCGGGATTCTATGTTGTTGATGCCCTGCAGATGGATGAGCCACGCAATTTTGCAAGGCAGCGGAGCCACTCCGATGGGATCGGTGCAAGAGTATAGAATAAGAATTGGAATAAAGAAGAATCGCCTCCCCTCTCCGCAACCTCCCAACCCACTCTAGCTTTTTCTTTGTTGGGTTACGCGCGAGTCTTCCCAAGTTCTGAGCGGCTTTCTGCCGGTGGTCACACAACTAATGCCATTAGTGCCATGTAACCGGTACAATTGATATCAGGGCTCACTGTTTATTATAGACGTGAATCTACTTGCTCTTCAACTCATTATGCCCATCCCCTTGGCCTTTTCCGGAAGAACCCTGGTCATGAAAGCCAGCCCATAAGCCTTTAAAGAGGTTTCTGTGTTAGCCAATATAGGCGCCCCTATCTTCTTCAACTTTCCATCTTTGGCCCAAGGCACACAGGGGAGACCATAAATTGTCTGGCGTAACCTCTGTGAAGCCAGCCTGCTCGAGTATTTCTGAGAGTTTGTGCGGGATGGCCGGAAGGTTGATCTTCCCCGTCGCAATTTTGTATATATCAAACCAGTGTAGAAGGTAGCTGTCTGGGGTAAGAGAGTTGTCTTCAAAACAAAGGATGAAATCACACTCGAGCACTTAGATCGTCCCCCTGGGCCTCAGAGAACCATCGTAACTTCATCAACGTAGGTGGGATGGGGAGTGGGATTTAGTCGATACTAGTATAATTGTTCGATGTGCCTCGGCCAATTTTTGATCGAGGTACTCAAACACCCCTACTAGACGAGATCGAATGAGTTCTGGGTGCTAAAATGTACCTCTTGGCATTTGGCTGCAAAATCACCAATCACTTTCCGCATCGTCAACTTGAAACTTGCAATTGGGAGGGACCATATGAAAAATAATCACCGGTTTGTACCGCAGAGGAAGAAATAAAAATGTACCAGTTCAGCTGAATATGGCTCAGGACTATTCGGAGAATCACCTCAGCGGGGAATCGACCGCCAAGACCTAGAAAACCCGATCCCCTTTCCACCCGGTTCATCTATTTCTCACTCTGCGATATAAATTGACCAAATACCAGTTCCAGTTCCAACATCCATGATCTTTTGTGAATTTTCAAGGGGACCGACGACGGAATCCCCATCTCACATGATATGGGACCTGTGGTGGGCTATACCTGGACTGATTGCCTAATACCGATCAGCCGTAAAGTGGGAGGATGATTTTTAAAGTGTGAAGTTACCGATCATGTTCTGAAGGCAGAAATTATGTAAATCGAACCATTCATAGTGCTTCGTACAAATCAACGAGCCTCACCATTCTGGAAACACCACAAATTGCGGGGCAAAAACCTCGGTGAAATGCAAACTAGCCCCAACAAACCGGTATAACATATCTACCCACACGATAAAAGAATCTGCCGCCTTCCGATAATTAACACAACCCTATCCTCATTGAACTCGGAAGCATTGGGAAATTGTCATTTTCGTACTCGCAATCCAACACCCCCTAAGAAAGGAAGGTTGTATCTGACCCGTGATTGCAGAGTCGTTAGAGCGGGGTGCAATTATTGTGGGAATGACATTTCTAGTTAACTGCAAACCTGCTCTCGGGAAGGCCATTAGACTCCTACCGGTACCGCTTCAAAAGTAATTGTGTCGTCAATAAATATAGCCCTAGGTATTTGTAGGGCTTAGGGGAAATATTCAGGAGAACATATCATACCAATTGATTATCAACATAAATGCGCTGTATGATATTCATGCCAGGGTTGTAGCTAGAGTACTGCAACCACTGAAAATTCAATGGTATCATACGGTTTTTGGGAAACCAATACTAGTAGAGAACTGTAATGGGGTGGGGTCTGAGCATTCAGGTCTGATACTCAAAACCACAAGTAAAACAAAATATAAAACAAATCCCTAAACCAGGTTCCAGTTCCAGTTACAACCATTGTCAGATAAAATTTCACTTTAGAAAAATACGAGGCACAGGGGGGGTATTCTCATACGTGCTGAATGATACAAGAATGTTTAAGACATAGGTTCATCTGCCTATAAAGACACTTATACTTCATTGAGTATCATGAGTCAACAAGTGAAGAAAAATCAAAGGACTACAAGAAAAAACTAAATAAATCAGAAGGAAATGATAATAGGAATGCCAGTAAGAATATAAGTAATAAGAACAATTTAAAAGAGTGTGGGAAAAAGGATTTACTAAGAAAAAAAAAACATTGGAGAAAAGAAAGACTCAGGAAGCATTTCTGAAAGTCCAAACTTTTAACTCTAAAATCCTGAGAATCCATTATAAGCAAGCCAAACCTATGGTATATTTCATGGTAGAAGTAAGTAAAGAGAGATATGTAGTTCAAAGAGCTCCAAGTCAAATGTTTATGGGATTGGCTTACCTCTCGAACATGAGTAGAAATTGAGTCAACTAAGCTAGTCAACTCTTCTACTGTAATAAAATTCCACTCCTCCTGGATAGCAATTTCCAACAATTCTGTGGTTGTTGGAAATGGATTCTGCTTCCGAATCCTTTGCTTAATCAATGTCCGTATATTTTCAATTGGATTGCAGGCAGGAGATGATAGTGGCCAATCAATAAAATATCGTCAGATATCTAGCTCCTTCAGATGGTTCTGAGTATGGACAGCATGGTGGGGGCTTACATTATCTTGCATCAGATAGATATAATCAAGTACCTATAACTGTTGTTACTAAAACTTATAAAAGTGAGAAATAATATGAGTAGTAAAGATGACAGATTTTATTGTCTTTCCCCAAAGATCTTTTTTCCAAAAGATTAATGGACCCTTCTGGCTGTTAGGGGTAGGTAACTCTAAAGTCAAGCGAGTATACACTAGGCCTAGTATTCTTCTGTCTTGAAAATAGTCAAGAAGGCTCAAAAAGATAGAAGTAAAGTAGAATGAATATACTAATAAGATCTCTTCTCCGGTCGCTGATGGTAGACTTAAAGCCAGGGATTTGTTTTTTTTTTTGTTTTTTGTTTGACTCATTTTATTATTTTGTTTATAGGACAAAAAGGCATATGGAGTACTAGCTGTAATGCCTAAAAAACTGCCCTCCCCCAGTCCGGGCCAAACAACAGAGCTAAAAAAACCCTCTAGGGTAGAAAATACTACTTCAGCCCGCAATCCCTTCCGTCAACTGCTCCATCCAATAACCTCTACTGCCAACCAACAAAAGAAAGCTAACTACCAAACAGTGAACTAAGAACATACCTAACTCTAAGAACGAAATACCTAAAGGCAGAAACCCAAACTGAACTCCTGAGAGCCAACAATCATAACTCAAATCCTGTGGATGGGGACTGCTAGGCCATATGACAAGGGCCAAAAGAAGGGAGATGAAGCCCTAGACACGAAGGGTATAAGGGAAGCCACCCTGAAGGCAGCAACCGAGAAGCGAGGAGAGGGGGTATGTAGCAGGTGTGCCAGCAACCATGTGTCCTCCAGGACAATTGACAATTGAGGCAGTAAGGTGCCAGCTTGAGAGGGGGTGGCAGTAGGGTACCAGCCGGTCTGACTATAGGAGCCCTAAGTGAATAAGGTATTTTACTGTATCTCTTATGTAGTTCCTTGCTCTGGGAGAGATAGCATCACTGTAGTAGAAGGGATCCTACCACCTGCCAGCCAAAACGGCCCTGGAGAGAAGAGGAGGAGTAGACCCATGACCGTGGTCAGCTATCAGTTATAATGTTCGTGTCTGACTAGGCAGCCTCCTAGGTTAGCAAGATAATGGAGAGATTGACTGAAGCCTGAAGGCTGTTCTCTCCTACTGCAAACTATAGTCCCAGCCATCTGTTGCTGGTAGAAAATGGGTTGCTGACTGTGCCAATGCCTAAGCGAGACGGAGTAGGAAGAGGAGAAACATCATGAAGATGAAGGACCCCAACCAGGGATGAAACTGAGAGAATCAAGAAATAAATCAAAACCTCAAGGGAGAGGGGAAGCAAGCTTGCCTCCTGTAGCCTAGGCTAGATGGAGGGAGATAGGGAGGGGTGGTGGTGCTAGATAATAAAAGCCATGATAGTAACTATGGTATTAAGTTTTCAATCACTAGAGTTGTAGTGGAGACAGAGGATAGACTTAAAGGTAGGGATTTTTTGTTTTTTTAACTCATTAATTATTTGTTTAGAGTACAAAAACATATGGAGCACTAGCTATAATGACAAAAAACCCATATCCCTCCTCTCGCCACAGGAAAAAGCCAACCCCCCAAGCCCCTCTGGTATGGAACCAACTGCACATCTCGCCTCAAAGAAAAGAAACCCAAGCCCGGCTAGATGGACGAACAAGGAAATCCTAACTATGAAGAAAGCAGGAAGGGCCAAGAAGACCCACTGAGAAATCACAAAAAAATAAAAGAAAGGTTCGTAGCAAGCCATGTAGGGCCCAGAAGGGCATTGTCACGGCCACCCGGCGTGCTGGACGTGGAGGAACATTGGACTTTTGGTTGCATATGTCGGCTGTGGTTTCTTTGGTTGCGTTGTAGGATTTTCTTTGTGTTATGATTGGGATAGGTTGCCACGCGACGG